AAAGTGTTAAATAGGGAATTTTTTTTGGTTCTTTTTTTTTAAGGTTTAGGAGTTTTTGGGAGGTTGGAGGATTTGGGCTTCGGTTTGTGGTCGAGAAGTTTGTTCACTTAACTTATTTAGTAATTCTTCAACCTCTAATAATAGTTTATCATCCTCTGCAAGAGTTTCTATTTCCTCGGCAAACTTTCCTACCTCATTTTTTAATTCTTGAACTAAGCTTTCTAGGCATTCGGTAAGATCATCAATAACTTGGTTTATTTTTTCAGCAGTTAGTTTTTCCTCTTCTTTGAGGTCTCCTATTTTAAAGACACTATATCGGTCGATTTGTTCTTGGCCAAGGCTAAGCAAGTTAGCCAGAGCAGAGTTCATTTTGCCTTGCTTTTCGCTTTGTAAAGATTTATCTAATGATTTATAAGTTTCTTGCAGTAAAGCGAGAGTTTTTTCATCTTCTATCAAACAATCTTTAAATTCTTTGGCTTGGCTTTTAAGAGAACGCTTTTTTAGGAGATTAGCAGCTATAGGTAAGCCTTTGCTTAATAATCTGGTTGCTATTTTGCCACCCGGAACAATGTCAGCAAAATCTTCTACATTACCAATTAGTTGCCCAATACTTTCTAATCTAATAGCTATTCGACTAGTTTTTTCTGATTTCTCCTCCGTGGTAATTAAGCTGTTAATAGTGTTTTGCCGAGTATTAGCCAAGATTTTTTTAGTGGCTAAAAGAAGAATAGTTTTTTTTAACTTTTGAGGATCAGTAGCAGGCTCGTTGATTGACTCTAAAGATTGATAACTTTGTTTGAGTTCAGTTAACTCACTTTTTAATTTTTGTTGAATGTTATATTGGATTTGGTAGTTAGTGAAAGAAGAATTATCACCTATTGCTACTTGTTGGCTAGCACCAGAAAAATTAAAAAATTGGGTTGGTTTAACTAATCTGCTTTCTTCTAACTGCCCTTTGGTTTTAGCTAGTTCTAGTTCTAATTGACGGATTTTTTCATCTTTTTCTCTACCATTAGGCATTTGCAACAGGATTTGTTTTTTGCTTTCGATTAATGAGGTCTTGCCACCAATTTTTGCCTCTAACTCTAATTCTTGATCTACTAACTCTTCGCAATCAGTTAAAATAGTTTCCACTTTTTCCATTAATTCTTCATCATCATTTAGCCTCTCTTCTAATTCATTTTTGATCCTTTGGCATTCTTTTTCAAGTTTCCGCGAAGGAAGTTTTTGTTTTTTTGCTTTGGTAAATTCTAAGTGAGTTCCGATTAATTCTTGTAGCAATCTTTTCTCAGGAAAAACTTGCAAAAGAGAATTAATAATTTTTTCTTTTTGGATTTTACTTGCCTCGACCAATCCTTGCAAGCGTAATTCTAATCGGCTAATTTCTTCTTCTTTAGCCCTGAATTTTTCTTCTAATTCTTGAACTTTTGAGTCCGATTCAGCCAATTCATTTTTCAAGTTTTCATTTATCCCCTTTAAGTTTTTAACTACTTCTCCTGCAATCGACGTTAACTCATCTGTATTTCCAGATTCAGAGAAGCTCCCTTTTCTCTCTACTATTCTTTTGCTTATTTCACTTAATTCGCTATCTAACTGATTTACAACTTTTTCCTTGATAGACTTCTTCAATTTATATTTTGATTCTTTTAATTCTTTATTTTCTTTTTGTAAACTTAGGATTTCTTTGCAAATTTTTCAATCGCCTTGATATTTTTTTAGAACCTCGATTAATTCAGTTAGTTCAGTATTGCCATCTAATTCTAACTTCTCCAAACTTTCTAAGTTTGCTAAGAACTCTGAATTAGTTAAAGAATTACTACTAAGGTTTAATATTTTTAACTGAGGACAATTTTCAATCACTAAATTTTGTAGACCGCAATTTCAAACTTTACACCCTTGTAATTGGAGCAAGTTTTTGAGGATTATTTTGTCGATGTTTTTAATATTTTGTAAACATAAGTCTTCCAGTTCTGAATAATTTTCAATGACTAGTGATCCTTGAAAAACTTTAGATCTAACTTTTATTCCTTTTGCTTCTTTGGAATACTCATTATTGAATCATTCTTGATCGTTAGTCATAATATTTATTTTTAGGAATTTTTATTAAAAGAGGGAAGATTAGTTTGCTGGATTTTGGCTTCGGTCTGGGCTTCTTTTTCTTTCTCTGCTTGTTGTTCTAAAACAATTAAATTTTTGCAATATTCGATAACTTTTTCTATGCTTTCATCAGAAAAACCTTTTTGCTCCAATTTTTCTCACAATTTTTCGACTCTAGCCATTGCTTCTACATCTTTTTCATTTTTTATTGATTCTTTGTTAGCTCGAATAAATTCTCTGGCTAATGCTTTCAGATTATCATCAATAAGACATGGATCTATTTCAAGTTTATTTAATAATTTAGTGATTTCTTTAGTAGGTAAAAGCCGACTAGTATAAACTGCCCCTGAATGCTTTTTGCCTTGATAATCAGGAAATTTGATTTTATCAGACAATTTTTCATTAGATTCTTCAGCTTTTAGGAGTTGTTTTTTAAATTCTGAATTCCCATAATAATAGTGATATTTATCAATCTCTCTTTGCCACTCTCTTGAAATTCTTTCTAATTCACTAGCTGTTGGTCGTTTTTTTGGATCAGTATCTCAACATCTTTCGATTAACTCTTTTAATAATTGAGGAATTTTAATTTGAAATTTAGGTCTTAATCCATTGCATATTTTTATTCCTAAACTTACATCATGAGCCTGATCATAATAAGGAGGCAAGCCTGATAATATCTCATAAGCCACTATTCCAAACGAATAAATGTCACTAGCTTGAGTATAGGGCTGTTGTCTTAATACTTCCGGAGCTACATAAGGCATTACTCCAAAGACTTTGTCTTCTTGTTTAGCTTCATTGGCAGGTCGACATAAACCTAAATCGGTAATTAAACAACCAGTTCTCTCAATCCCTTTCAAAATATTACCAGAATGAAAGTCTCTATGCACTAGGTTTTTAGCATGAATGTCCTTTAACCCTTGGGCAATGTTTGCTAATTGACCAATTTTATTCCCTATACCTAGTTCTTGGTTTTTATTACCTAAATAATGTCTTAAATTTCCTTCGGGCATATATTGCATAACCATTAAATAGTTCTTATTTTCAGGATGCCGAGAAATTCCATAACAAGGCACGATGTTATCAAACCAGTCATCAATATTTTTATGTTTAGCTACTTCTTGAAGAAAACCAATGTTGTCCGAAGAATTGTTAAGGCTTTTTAAAACGACCTCTCGATAACCTTTATATCTTTTTCATCCAAACTGATGAAAATCTTCACCCCTATAATAGTCTTTTTTTCTTGCTCATTGTTTTTTCTCAGTATCTCAATGATGAATGTTTCCCGTAGGTCACTTAGCTTTATAAACCTTACTAAAACCTCCTTCAGCCAGATATTCAACACTGGTAAATTGCTTGTAGGGAATCCATTCAATAAATTTATCTTTATCGGTTGCTTCTAATTGACATTTTTTGATGAATTCATCTATTTGGAGGTTGTAACTAGTTCACTTGGCAAACTTTTTTTTTAACCGTTCAGAATTGCAACCTTTACATCATTTCTTTCCAGTGTTAGGTTGATCACATTCCTCGCATAGACCATATTTTTTAAATCTATCACTAAGAATTTGGTAATCTTCTTTGTAGTTAGTAATTCATTCAGGAGTGTAATTTTTAACACCTTTCAATCAACTAACAAATTTATAATCATCTAATTTTGCTCCGGCATCTATTCATTCTTTAATTTCTTCTTCACTAAAATTAAGTTTTCTTCATTGTTGCTTTAGTCATGGCTCATAAACATGGAGATTTTGAGAAAAATTTGTTCTACTTTCATATGTTTCCGCTTCTGGTTTTTCATCAGCAAGCAAATCATAAACAACTTTTACTTTCGCTTCTGGTTTTTCATCTGCTGAGCAATAAAATTTTTCCAAACTCTCCGGTAAATATTCTAAGCCCGAATCAATATCAGTATTACTAATAGTTAAATGCTTTAATTTATTCGATCCCACCAAGGGTTGCAAGGAACCAACAAAGTTATTATTATTTAGTTCTAATATTTCTAAATTAATAAACTTACTTAAAGGAGTTAAATCACTTTCGGGAAAGTTATTATTTTGAATATAAAGTCCAGTTAATTTTTCCTCATTTAAATTATTAAGAAAGTTGAGGTTAGTTAGTTGATTATCTCAACAATTTAATTCAATAAGTTTAGGATTATTTAATTCTAATTTAGTTAGTTTGGAATTTAAATAATTTCCATCAATTGTTATTTTTTCTAGATTAGGATAATTAGATAATTTTAGAGTTTGACCATCGAGATTTTTTTGTTGGTTATTTCAATTAATAATTATTTTCTTTAACTGGGCTTTTTCTTTCGGAGTAGGATATTTATTATCTAAGTATTCTTGGAGAGTGGTCATAACCTATTTTTAGCCTTTAAAAAAATATTTTTTTCTAATTGAGCAAAACATTATTTTTCTTGCTTTTCGAACTTATTCTTCCAAGTCTACTTTATTTTTTGGGAATTATTTGGATAATTCCAAAATTATAATTTAAGTGTTATAAACAACACGCACTCGTAAAGAAAAAAATTAATTACTCTTTATAATGTCGTTTTCTTTTGCCTAATCAATAACCAATAAATAGCACGGAGCCTAGTAAAAAAACTAAACCGCCAACTAATAAATAAGCATTATTGTTAAGGTTTTTATTAGGAATTTGCTCGGTTTTTGGCTTAATCTCGGTATTTATCACTTCGGTTGGTTTGGCTTGAACTAATTCTTTTAAATAAGTTGTATGAGCATTATGATTAGTATGTCCTCTCGCTACTAAACTTTGGGCATATTCCAATAAATCCATTAAAATAGAACCTTGTCAAGAAACAATTCTAAACTTTTTTTCTTTAATCCCGCCAATTAACTTGCTAAACTGTTCGCTAGTAAGATTTTGGAGATTTTTCGTTTTAACCGGATTATTTTCAAGGTTAATACTTTCTAGGTTAGGAAAATTAGAAAGTAATCAAGCCAAATCTATTTCTTTTAGTTGATTGCCAAAAAAATTTAGTTTTTTTAGTTGGGATTTGTTGGGTAAATTATTTAAGAAAGTTTAAATCCTCAAATTTATTATTATAAGAATTTAAACTTTGGAGATTAGTAAATTCGCTTAAATCCGCATTGCCGGCTAAATCTCGGTTGCTAATGTCTAAATATTTGATTTTGGCTTTTTTGGTGATTTGACTAAGGTGTTGTTATGCTTCATTATTCATATAAATAATTTTTAATTATTTTTATAATTTGGTCTTAAAACCGCCAAATTTCAACTTTAAAAGTTTAAGCAATATTTCGTTAACCTTGACCAACTGATTTTCGTTTAAGCGGTTAACTGCTCGCCCTAATAATCTTTCCTTATCAATGCTTTTTATTTGGTCAACCATAACTTTGCCATTTCGTCCATTATTGGCTAAATTTTCCACCCAAACTTCAAAGGGATAAATTGGCTTTAAAGTAGTAGAACAAGGCATAACAATTACTCTATCGCCCTCCTCGTTATATCAGTTATCCGAAATTATTAGGCCGGGATGGTCGCCTTTTAACTCGGTGCCGACCGTTTCCTCATCAAATTTCACTCAATAGATTTCTCCATAACTGTATAATTTTTTTGCCATTAATTATCTTTTACTTTACTGGCAATTTTGTCCCAAGCCGCGATTTCTTTATTTCGTTGTTTATCTTGGCTAGCAGCACGAACGGAACGGCGTCAAAATTCTTCCTCACTTTCGCTCTCTTGGTAAGTTTGATAATTTATTTGTTCCCGTTTAAGAAAAGTCTTAACCTTTTGGCTGTTCTCAGCTTCAATAATTATGATTTCTTTCATATAAATTATTTTTGCTAGCCTTGAAGTTTAAGCATGAATGATTTTTTGCCAAAATCGCGGGGTTAGGTTTTTTTCTTTTAACCTTTTGACCATTCTGTAAAAAAATAACAACCATTTCGTTTTAGTGGATAAATAATGAGTTGCTTCCGCCGTGGTTTTCGTTGATTTTATTGGTTAATTACTCATTTTTTGAGGTGAATTTACTTATTTTCTTGTAATCATTTTTCGGTTTGGTCTTTTTCTTTTTGGTAGTCTTTTAGTTGTTTTTCTAGTCTTTCTAATTGTTTAGTAAGATATCTTTCTTGGCTGGTTAATTTATAAATTTGGGTATTTAAGAAGCGAACATATTCTTTTTTACGGGTAATCTCTTCGGGGGTGGGTTTATTCATAAGAATTTTTTTGACCTCTGCTACAATTATCTTTTCTGTTCTTGGTATCATTTATGCTCGGCTTTTTTCTCTTGCTCGTTCCTTGGGAATTGTCATCAGGCGCAACCGTAGCAAAAATATCTTTCTTTATTTTTATAATTCACTAAATAAAGCGGATTATTAAAAACTCCACAAAAAGCACACTTGCCGCTACCGACTAACAATTGTTTATTTAGTCCTTGACAATAAAAGCAATTAGTTAACTTTTCTTTCATGGCGGAGGTTTAAAAGTTGGTTGAATAATTTGAGCTTGTTGTTCGCTTCGTTCTTTTTCTAATTGTTGGTAATAATTAACTTTGCTTAACTGATAAAGACTTTTGGCAATAGCTTTTAATTGGGTTTCGTAATTATCGGCTCTTTGCTTTTCTTTCTCCGCCAACAATTCGGCTGTTTGTTTATCTTTAAGGGCGATTTGATAAGCATTTTGGAGGTGAAAATAGTTTTGTTCGTAAGCCTGGATTTTTTGGCTTAAATTAGCATTAGTTTCTCGTTCAATGAGTAAGCTATTTTCCGCAATGGTTCGTTTTTCTCTTTCTTGGGCTAAATCTTGGGTTAGTTGGCTAATAGTTTCTTTGGCTGCGGATAATTCTTGCTTAATTTGTTCTTTTGCTTGGCATAAATTAGCATTTTGCTTATTTAAATAGTTTAAATCATGTTGTAAATCGTTGTTTTGCTCTTTTTCGCGAGCTAGTTCTGATTTTAAACTGTTATTTTCGTTACTAATTTGGGTTAATTGGCTTTCTAGTTGATGAATTTTGCCTAAATAATTAGGTGGGCTAAATGGCGGCAAATTGTCCGCTAGTAGTTCCGGCAATTCTTCCAAATCTACCTTAACCAAGTTTTTTGCTTCTGGTTGCGGTTTTGGAGGCTTTTTTAATCAGTATTTTTTAGCAAAAATATCTGCTGTGTCCTCATCCTCATAAATATTCATTCAGTATAAAGCGGTAGTTCTAATGGAAGAATGCCCTAATAATTTAGATAAAAGTGGCAAAGGTAGACCTCTTTCCGCATGATAGGTGGCAAAGGCTCGTCGGAGAGTATGGGGAGTTAACTCTACATTTGGCGGCAAATTTAACTCTCCCTTGACTTTCTTTAAAAAGTGATAAAAGTTAAAGCGGTTGGTTTGCTGGGGCTTTCAATCATTCTTTTTTAATTCGCTAATAACTTCCGGGGGAACATAAACATAACGCTCTTTTTTACCCTTGGGCTTGTCTATTCTATATAAACCTTGCTGGGTTTTAGCATTTAAATCAAAGTTTACGGCTTCACTCACTCTTAAACCGGCTTGGTAGCCAAGTAAAAATAATCCGTAGTGTCCTTTTCTTTTATATTCTCCTTGCTTATTGGGAATAGTTTTTATTTTTTGTTGAATTCTTACTAAATTTTGTAAACTAGGAAGCATTTTATTTGAAAATAAATATATTCTCCCAAATTAATTATTTGTTTCGTTTTAAATCTTTATAAAGATTATAATTAATTTTTACTTAATAGAAGTTATTTTTTTCGCCGTTTCTCATAACACTCCAAAGCTTTTTCCAAAACTTCTACAATAAAACAATCTTCTTCCGCCGCCAAAATTTTTAACCGCTTGACAAATTCCGGTTTCACACTTAATCCTAATTGTTTAGTGCGTCCGCTAATTCTTTTATCATTAGGAGCCAATTCGGGGGCTTGTAAATTAACACTAGCTTCTTGCGGGGCTTTACCTAATCCTTTTCTTTTAATTTTATTTTTTCAATTCATATACACCTAGAATTATATACATATTTTTATAGGTAATTTAATATTTAAGGTAATATTTCCTTACAAGAAGTTCAATATTTCATTTACTAATTGCTTTACTTGTTTTTGTAAACTTTTATAATTTACTTCTCCGATACTTTTGCCCTCATTTTGAATTTGTTTATAAGAAGTTTTTTCGGATAAATAGTTAGTAGTAAAAGAATAATCGGTATCTTTTAAATATTCTTTAATTGCTTCGGCTTCTTTGGGAGTAGATAAACGAATAAGAGCAAAAAGAAGTTTTTTTTTGTTAATTCCTGCCTCTTTTAAAGCATTGAATTCTTTTACAGCGGGCATTAGGTCGTCATTACTGGCCCCGACTGGTTGAATTAGTAAATCAGCCCTTTTGGCTATTTCTAATGTTCCTTGGCTAGTTCTCGCCGGAGCATCAATTATTATTAAATCATATTCACTAGCCAAAGGTCAAATATCTTTAACGGAATTAAAAACTTGACAATTAACCTTTTTATTGATTTTGCTTCACTCATAACTAGTGGCTTGTTGGGGGTCGCAATCGGCTAGTAAAGTTTTTACTTTTTGCTTAGTAGTTTCGGTGGCTACGGCTCGGGCGAGGGTGCTTTTTCCTACTCCTCCTTTTTGACTGATAAAAGCAATGATAGTCATTTATTATAATTTTAATCTAAGAACCTAGGAATATATGAATATAATTATTGATTTGCTTGGTTAATAATCTCTTAAACAAATCCGTAAAAAAATTGTTGGCTTCTACCATTTTTCAACCTAATATTCACTATATTTCCCTCGTCCAAAGAATTTATTGCCTGCTCTTGGTTTTTATAATAAGCATCCGCCAAAAAATAAGACTTAACTTGATTAATTGCTCGATAAAAAACCTTAACCGCCTGTCTCATTTGTGGTAAATAATTTACTTGTCCAATAAACTTTTTTTTGGTAATAGTAGCTTCAACACTTAATACCTTGGCATTTGAATTATTTGCTTTAACTTTTAGGGTGTTTTTTTGTTGATTTTTTGTTTGCTTGATATTTTTATCAGCGACTAACTTTTTATCTAGGTTTTTCTTTATTTTGTCCCCATCTAAAAAAATATAAAATATTTCCGCTAATTCTTTTAGAAACTTTTTCGTGTCAATTAAAGGTAATTCAGTAGTTTTTTTGGCTCATTTAGTAAATTTCATTTGACAGCCTTGGCTAATTGGTAATCTCGTTTGACTTTTTAAGCCCAAAACATCCCCAAAAACCTTTCCTCTTCCAGTAAACATTTTTGATTTAGGTAACAAAGAAGTAAGGTTTAAATGAAGTTTTGGAGAACCGGACGGGGAAATTTCATGTCAAGGGATTTTATACTTGTTAATTAAACAGATAAATTTATAATCCAAATAATTTCTTTCTCGGACAGTAAATATATAATCACCTCAGCAATCTTTTTTATAATGGTCAAAATCTAGCACTGTTTTATTTTTCCCGCCGGCCTCTTTATTTTTTAACAGCAAGCAAGCTAAATCTCTTCATTCATAATGACTATTCAGTTGATAACCCTTGGTCTGCGGAACTTTGTTAATAGTTTCAATAATATCTCGGTGCGGTTTTCAATGATGACTTACTGCTTTTAACTCTTTATCCAAATGTTCCATTTTTTTCCTAAACAGCAATGGCTTTACTTCCAAAGCCTCCATTAGTTCTTTTTCATTCTTATTAAACTGATAAACTAATTCAAAATTTTTTCTAACTGGTTTGGTAAAAAAAAACAAAGAAAATCTTTTATTATATATATATGCTTGTGGAGAAAAAGAGAACCACCACTTTTGCGAAAAAAAATCAACTTGTTTTACACCGTAAATACAGCAAAAGCCTCTTTTGCCTAGTTCTTGAATTAAAGCCCATTTTCTTTTTAATGCTTTAAGTCTAATGCTTGGAATTATTTTGTGTCTATCTGTTTTTCGGCTCTTTTTGAAAAAAGCAAAAGAACTATTTAAGATTGATTGAGGTTGTGAGATATCCATATTATTTACCTATTTCTAACCAACCAACCTAGTTTTAGGATATCTCACTAACTCTAAACCGACTGGTTAGCTAGGAATAAGCGAATAATTTTGATTTATTTCTAACCTTATATATTAATTTTTATTATTTATTCTCTTTCTTTTTAATTTTTTTTCTATCATTTCGGCCATATCTGCTTTTCTTTCTTCTTCGGGGGTGGCTGGTCTTAAATTGCCTACTTTTTTTTCTTTGCCATCCTCAAATTTACATAAAATTTCCCCTTTTTCATTAATTCTCATGCCGAGAGATTTCATTTCTTTATTTAATTGTTCAATATCTTTATAAGTTCGCATAATTATTTTATTTTTTTAGTTAGTTATAAGTAATTTTTCAAAATTTTTCGTATTGATAAATTTATTCACAAGGATAAACAGTAATCACTCCAATTAATTCAGGATTATCATCATCCAAAAAGAAAACTATCCGATAATTCCTACCATTTCTTTTATCGATAACTGGTTCATAACCAAAATATTTTCAAGATGGTCAATCAGGGTTTATACCTTCTGCTTCCGGTTTTTCGTTGTTTAATTGTTGAACAAAATCCTTGATTATGTTGTCGTCTAATAGATATTGGTTTAAATTTTCCTTTATTCTTTTTTTCTTACTTTGATAAAATTCTTCATTACGCTTTTGATAGTGAGGGCTAATTTTTAAGACAGTTTTTTTAATACCAAAGATTATTATATTACATTTATAAATAGTAGTATTAATGGGTTCTTGGGGTGGCTTTTTGGTGGTCATGGTTAAATTTGGCTTCGAAAGGAACTTTTAAGTTTTCAGTATAGTTAATTAATTCCTCCGCAGTCAGTTTTTTATAGTGGCGAAAAATAATGTATTCTACTTTGGCTTGGTCAATGCCTAATTTTTTGGCTAATTCTGGTTCGGAGAGATTGTTTTCTTGGCGATAACTAGCAATATTTTGGCAAAGTTGATGTTTAAATTTGTCAGCAGCGGTGGCATTCGGTCACAAACCTTGATTTACGCGTCGATAATTCGGATCAGCAAATCTTTTAGTAACTTTTTCGATTTCTGCTTCATCGGGAAAGCCGTATTGTTTTTGATTTAGTTCTTTTTTCATGGTAATATTGTTAATTTTAATGAAATAGCCTTTGTTTATTAATTATTTTAGGATTTTTTTATAAAAACCTAAACTTATCTCTTTTTACTTACTTTTGCTATCGTTCAAAACCCCTTACTAGGCTTAAAACTAATGCGATTAGTGGGCTTGGCTGATTTTAATAAATCTTGTTTTTTCTTTTGACAATCTTTACATTTTCTCGTGTCTAGCACTAGACTCTTAAACTTATCTGATTTAGCGTAAAATAAAACTCCTTTGCCCTTATTGGCTTGCTTAAAATCAGTTAAAGATTTTTCGTGCTTATTACAGTGTTTACTGCCTTTGGGCTGGGCGGCACTTCTTTTAACGGTAAAATAACCTTTAAAACTAATGCTTTCACCTTGGTTTAGTTTTTGCTTGGCGACTTCCAAGAAAGCATTTAATACTTTTTTAGTGGCGTCTTCACTGTCAATTTTACTTTTTTTATTTACTTCTTTACTGATTTGGGTAATTCCTAACATAATAAGAGTTTTTAATAGCATTTGCGAGCATTTGCCTCGCCCAAACTGTTCTTGCGAGCCAGTTCCCCGAGACCCCCTAATTAATCCCTATGGGTAATTTCCCTTGGCGGACAGAAAATCTTTTAAATAATTTGTCTAAGCAAAAGTCCTTTAATTTTATTCTTTCCATTTAGCACCTCCTTAATGGTTAAACTCTGGCTTTAATTAACCACCATTATTAATAAGCACCAACAACTCTCTTTTATATTCCCAAAGAATTTTTTTGCCTCTGACTTGGCGAACAATTTTTTTGGTGCTGGTCGGCTTTTGTCTGCCTTAATTCTGCTAAAATGTCCTTGGTTTTTGGTATTTTTCACAATTAATTCGCAAACTTTCTGACTGTCCAAATTTAAAGCAAATTCTCTTTATTTTTTGCTATTCTCACAGAAGTATCTGGTTGTTACTTTTTTTCTTTTTCAGCATTAAGAATTGAGCCAACTTTTTACTTTGCTAAATTAGCTATTAATTGCTTTTTGGTTTGTCCGGGATTTTGTTTAATAATTTGTTTTGCGGTTGGTGGCAATTATGGCTCCCAAGAGTTTTTTAAAAGTTTTATTGGCAGGAACCCTTGATTATCCTTTTAAAATTACTAGATTTTTAATAATGAAATTTTGACTTAACCCCTGCCCTTGGTAAACAAGTGTAAAAAATGCCCGTTAGTTATTTTTTCCAATTCCCCCACGACAATTGGGAGAATGGCACTCTGCGAGGCTAATTTCCTGGCTAGGAAATTTTTATATTTCAGTATGAAAAATATAGTAATCGATAATCAAGGGATTCAATTCCCGCCAAATAAAACCAAAAAAACTCACTTGGAAGTCCAAATTGCTGAACTCCAACAGCAAGAGCAACAAATTAGCCAGCAATTAAAAACTTGGCAAGCCAAAGCCAAAAAAGCCAATAACCTCGCTAATTGTTTAGCTGCTACGAATAAATTTGGTCAACAATTCTTAACTAATATGGTGGAAAACGAAAAAAACCAAGAGCAACCGGATAATTGAGCGTGAGAATACTTGCTTAAAAATAAGGTTGAATTTGTCTTAAAATTTGAAATCGGAAGAGAAGCCTTTACCGAGTTAATTCATGAAAGCATAGCAAGAGAAGTAGAGAGTTTAGAAAATAGATTAGCCAGTGTCCAAAGCCAAATCCAACACCAAGAAAGAAAATTTGTTCGCCTTCAAGCCTGCCGGCAAGGCAAAACTCTTTTGGAATGTAAACTAAATAACGGTATTGGTTGTTTGGGTGCTTATTGATGCGAGAATTGTCGGGTTAATTATCCAGTGACCAACCAGGTTCAAGCTGAATTGAAAGGAGGGGCTTGCTAATGGGAGCAGTGGAATTAAAATTTGCCGGATTTTTTGAAAATTCCGCTTATTTAAAAGATTTTCGCTGTCCGCAATGTAAGCAACCAATTAGCGAACAGGACATTAGCGAAAAGAATTATCAACTTTGAGTTAGTGATTATGCTAATGACCTAAATAAAGAGGAGTGCCTGAATTCTCCTCCTTATTATAGCCTTTGTTTCTGACTAAAAGGCGTAGAACATGAATATTGCCCGGAAGTAGAAACTTGCGAGGGCTGTTACGAACGGTTTTTAACTTCGGCCATGAAAGAATTTCAAGGCGAATATTATTGCGGAGCTTGTTGCCAAACAGCAAGCAAGGAGGTTAAACATGAATAATAACCAAATTACATTTATTTATGATTTAGCAAATGATATTTGCCATATTCAAACTAACGACCAGCCACTTCGCGAATTAACCCTTAAAGGTTCCTGCGAATATCAGGGGGAAGTCAATGGCACTTGATTTCAAGTGGACGAACTAACTAATCACTGAATATCTTTTCGCTGGAATAGATTTCAAGCGAATAAATGAGAAGTGTTTTATAAAGCCGTTCAAAACGAGCAAATAACCTATTATCGCCAAGTCTTTTATGGAGTAGAGGGAATTCTGGTTTTTTCTTTTTCCGAAAAAGATGAATGGGTTAAAGTGGCGGGCAAATGGAGAAGTAAGTTTTAGATTTTATTTTTACTAACTTCTTTTGGTTTCCTATGGTTAATAATTCATCCTTAATTGTTCTTTTCGTGGATGAGATTTGATTTGTTTTTGAATTCTAGTTAATTCTTGCTGGTCTTTTCAGTGCTCTAACTCATAATGTTTTTGTAAATCTAGCCAATAATCTTCTCTTACTCCTCAATAGCAACCTAGACGATAAGAAAGTTCGGGCGTAATATCTTGCTTTTCGGCTAGAATTTCCTCAACAATTTTGTTTTCCACTTGAATACTTTGGGCTAATTGTTCAGCAGATAACTTGTAAGTTTTCAATAATTCTTCCCGCAAAATTTCGCCAGGATGAATAGGATGTAAATCTTTATCTCTTACCATAATACTTAATTTTACTTGCCATATTTTTTATCATGCGGGTTAATCCAAATATCATAAGCTTGCTTTTGCTCTTTATCTCATTTAAATAATAAGCGATATTGTTTGCTTAAACGGATACTATGCTGGCCTTTATCGCCAATTTTCTCTAAACGACCGCCACTAACTCCGTAAGGAAAATACAAAATAATTTCGGACCAATTTTTTGCTTGATAAATTAAGACTATTTTGCGGTGTGCTGACTGTTTATCACTCTTGCTTAGTTCTTGGAATTTGAGAACTCTTTCGCCTAAATAAAAATTTTCTGTATCTTTATCTTTAAAGCGGTTGCTTTTGGGTTTTCCCATTTAAGTTAATTTTTTTGTCCTTATTTAGTTTTTTTCTTTTACTTCACGGATTTTTATAATATTTTGCTAAATAAAGTTTATTTTTAGCGTGTTTAGGAATAGTTTTTAGGGGATGTTTGGGTTTAATTTTCTTAACTTTTACTTTGTTTTTAAAGAAAAGTTTATAAATAAATAAGCTAATCAAAAAAATCAACAAAAACAAAAGACTTAAAAAGAATTTAATTGCGAACATTAATTATTTTTTATCTAAATATAAAATTTATTATATAAATTATGACAAAAAAATATCTAATTTATAATCGAGCAAATTTAATCATGCGAATTGCTTAATTAAGTTAAAATTTATTATAGACTTTGACGAAAAACATTAATCAAACTAACCAATTAAACAATTATCAAGGAGGAGAAATGTTTTATCCAAATAATTATTTACCTACACCAAATAAATCTCGGGGCTGAAAACATACTAAACCTAATTTATTAGTTAATTGCTCACTTTGCGACAACGAATTTACTGTTAAATATATTCAGCCTAAAAAACAATACAGCAAAAAGAACAACTGGGGTTATTGAACCGGTAAAAAAGCCTTTCAAAATAAATATGTTTGCGATAACTGTTTAGTAGATATTCACCAAGGAGGAATTATTAACTGAGTAGACAATTTAGAAAAAGCGGATATTTTTTATACTTATTTATCCCGGCAAACTATTCGCAAAAATTAATCTCAACATGGATTTTTAATTATTTATATTATTTGCTTATATTTATAATAAAGGTGAAAATGCTTAGCAGAATAAATTTAAAAATCTTAACATAGAAAATAATTAAATGTAAAATATATATTATGATGAAAAAGTTTATACCAGAAGTAAAAGAAGTTAAATATATTGAAAATAAAGATCAACAACAAGCAGTTGAAGAACAACAAAAAATCGAAGATAGTTATTATTTTGAAAATGAGGCTTGAAATGATATTAGTGTTAAGAAGAATTATGGACCAGGTCATTGTCCACCCAAGTGCCATGCTCATCCTACGGCTTTTATTCGTGCTCCTGGAACGGATAATAATTCTTTATATACACATATTTATGTGGGAGTAAGAATTGGTCGCCAATTAAATGGTAGTTGATGTTGCGAATTTCACCGTTCTACATTTGGAGGAAATAATAACTACGAGCCAGTTATGCCAACCGCCTATCGTTGTGCTCATCAAGATTGTCCTAGCATTGTAAGTAGAAATGGTGATTTTTGCTATGCTCATAATACCAGCAGATCCGACAGTGGATCGGGCGGATCCTGTAGGCAATAGTAAAATTTTAAAGAAATAGATAATAGGGTAAAGTTAGCGATTTTTGCTCTCTCTCTCTCTCTCTTGTCTTTTAACATGTTAAAAAATTGAGATATGTGTCATGAATAACACAGAGAAATTGATAAAAAGAAGAGAAGAAATTGAAAAAGAAAAAGAAAGTGGAGTCGCGAAAGGAGGCTGGTATATCACTGACCTCATGACTTTCGTGATTAAATTAAAAACTCTTGACAAATTAATTAATATTTTTCTTCAAAAAAAGAGCAAGTCGCCAATTACCAAAACCGAAGTTGCTTTTGGTAAAATTTATGGCTTTCAAAAACAAAAAAACGAATTGGTTCAAATGCTTAGTGCTCAAAACTACCTTGATTCCCAAATTGGTAATAATGATTTTTCCAATAAAAAAATACTTTGTTTTGTTGGTCCTCCTGGAGTAGGAAAAACAGCTTTTGCTTGAGAGATAGCGAAAGTATTAGGTAAAGAATTTTACTTAATTCCTTTATCAGGCAAAAGCGAAGCTAATTACTTAACTGGAGATAGTTCTATTTATCGAGCCTCTAATCATGGTCAAATAATTCAAGCATTTCTTTCAACCAGAAGTGCTAACCCGCTAATTCTTTTAGATGAAGTAGATAAAATGGGCAAGGGAGACTCAGGCGGAAGAGGACCAATTCGTCATGCACTTCTCGAAATCCTTGATCCTCTTCAAAATAAACAATTCAAAGACCAATATTTAGATGCTGAAATAGATTTGTCCCAAATTACTTTTGTTTTGACTGCTAATAGCGCCGATGATTTAGACCCCGCTTTAAAATCTCGAATAGAAATTATTGAACTAGAAGGGTATTCTCCCCAAGATAAAAAACATATTGCTAAACTAATTTTGGAAGAACTTTTTGAAAAAGTAAACTATCTAAATTATAAATATTTAGAAATCTCCGATGCTGCTTGGGAAAAACTTATTTCTCTCACTCATGAAGAAGGAGTAAGGCAAATAAAACAAGGGATTAATAAAATTCTAATTTATTGTTATGACAAATGAGCAGAAGACTATAACAATAATCGCTCTCCAAGAAAAATATCAATTGACCCGACTAAAATTGAAGAAATCATTCCCAAAGAATTTTTTGCTATTGATAAGCAAGAACAAAAGCACTTAAAAGAACAAAAGGAAAGAGAGGAATTAATTAATTTAGACAAGCAATGAAAGAATGACCAACGACAATTCCAAAATAAATTGTTAATTATATTAGGAATCGTTATTTTTTTGTTGGCAGTAATGATTATGATTAATTATAACAATATTAAAAAAAGGACAAAGAAATAGAAAGTTTAATCCATACCCGACCTTTTGTTTTAAATGCTGATAAGTGTTTTCTTTAATGGCAATGCTTAATGTTCTAGTCATAATAA